CATTTTTCCTGTGCATTAGAGCATCACACCAAAAACTGTGCTAGTATGCTAATGCTCAGTAAAATCAGGCTACTGAGCATTAAGCGTCACTAAAAAAGTGTGCACTTTCGCTACTGTGCATTAGGGCAGCCTAATGCACATTTAGTTAATACCTCACAAAAGAGGTACTACATTTAATGCACAGTGACAAAAGCACATTAATCATCCAAATTACCTTCCATCTTCCCATTCTCAACCAATTCTTCGCTGTTTCTGAGCAGCAAGTTGAGAAAAGCTTAATACTTAATTAAAGAAACTATGGAGTTAATAGAAAAATGTAGCAGCTTATTTAGGTAACTAGTGAAAGAACATTTCCCCTGGCACCAAATACAGTTGCTTAGATCAGTAAATACTTTCTGCAGCTCTACATTTTATTCTGCTATAGGCACACAGGAAATGCTGAAACTGGATGACTATACTTGTTATAGCAATAAGGAAACTAAAACTCTCAAGCTTTAATCTTGGACTCCTGTGGACCAGCTAACTTTTCATAACATTGGTATGTTTGAGAAAAGAGCTTGCCATAAAACCACCCAGAAGATGCTGCACAGTTCATTACTGTTTGCACAATATATTCTAGAAATATATTTTGAGGATACATTGTACACACAAGTCTATCTACCTGTATGCAGACAAATAGGTAACTAAATCAGAGCCTAAAATTCAAACACCATTGCTTAAACTGGATGCAAAAATTTTAAGTGTGAAACCCTGCACAACACCAAGGGTGAACTTCTCTCTCACGCAGAAGCAAGCACCGAAATCAAGCACAATGTAAGTCCCCCAGGAGCATTATTTGCTCGGCTTAAATGCTGGATCAGCTCTGAGCCACACTTTGAGCAAAGCTAATTTCAGCCTTTGTGCTGAAGATAGGGTGGGGGTGGAGGGGGGGCTTAGAGACTAACTTCTTCTCTTGAAGGTGGTACCCTGCCCTATGTCCTGCCTGACTTCAGACTAACTCAAATAACCACGTTGGTTCCCTTTGCATTATGCATAAAAAGTTTGTAAATTGGGTTTGTTTGCACATACACTGCCCTGCTGCACTCATAGATCTCTGTAAACATGCACACATTTTTAGGGGGTTCAGTTTAAGAGCCTGTTTTTCAAATCAAGTGTTGATGGAGTGAAAATAATACACAAAAACATGAATAAAAAGCAGCCTCATTGTGATGTGTGTGTGACTGGTGTAACAAGTACGCTGTAGTTGTACTTTTCCCTTTGAATGCACAAAGGGATACACAACTGACTGGAACTGTTCTTTGACTCCAATATTTAGCAGGTACGTAGAATTTTACACTTGCAAAAATTCTAGACAAAAACCCTCCTTACCCCTAAAACAATCATCAGCCCCATTTCACGCCTGGCAAAGCTGAGGCACTCAGGGGATGCATCTACATGTACGCTTTACTGTGGAGCAGATGAATTAGCTCTGCCGTAAAGTGTCACCCTCTACATGCACGCTGGTATTAGGGCATTAACTAACTCTGCTGTAAGATACCATCAGGGATAGTATTATCAAATGGTGGAGTAATCTACTACACTGAAACGCACACGAAGACTGACAGCTGGGCGTAAATTGTGCCCAGTCAGCCCAGGCAACAGGGGAGCCAGACTCCCGCCTGCCGCCTAGCCACACAGCTCCACACCTCGAGCACTCGTGTCCCAGCCAGCCCCTCTGCCCTCACCCGGAGCCAGGACACCTGTGTCCTGCAGCAGTTTGAGCTCACGTGCAGATGCTGTGTCCGGGAGCAGTGTACTGTGGCTCAAACAGCCTTGGAGTTCATTGCATCGCATTAATTGTACATGTAGATGCACCCAGGGTTACTTAAATTACCTAATTGCACACAGCAGGCTAATGGCAAATCTAGGAATAGAAATCAGAGTATGTAGTTCTCAGCCCAGTGCTAAGTCCATTAAGCCTTGCTGAATCTTCCCAGCTTCAATGTCCAGCATTAGTTTATTTTTCCATCTACTTATTTATTTATTTTTTTTTTACTTAACTATGCTTCCCTACACTGTGCCCTCCAATTATTTATTTTCTGCCATGAGTTTGAAAAGGCTGCATACACTCACGGGGAGTTGCAAACTGGAGAGGGATCACAGCAAAAACACCTCTGGATTTGCAATTAAGAGTCCGGATAATGAATAGGACTGTTAATCATTGCTATCAGTGAGCAGATTGCTTAGCCTATCTCAGAAACCAAAGGATGATCGTGTAGTATGAAAATGGCTCCATGCATATAGAAAGCTTTCTGTTTATTCCAAAATGTCATTGGGGATGTCTCTATGTAGATTTGGGGCAGAGCTTAGGTATGTGATAACTTATCATACCTACTTAAGTCTGTGAAGCTATTAATTCAATTAGGTTGAAAATAATTTTTTTATTTTGGTGCCACAACAATAAATAAGGGAAAG